ACCCCCGCCTTGCTTACCGAAAACCAGAACCGAAACTGGGGGCCTTTCGTGTGGTTTGAGGGGAACCCGAGGGTGGCTGTCTGCAGGCTTTATTTGCAGCCTTTGGGTTTCTCTCCTGACCTGAAGAAGTGCCCGAGTACGTGAGCTGGTGGGCTCACAGAAGGGTTGGAGAGGGCTCGGGGTGCTGCCTAGAAATCCATGAGGCCGCAACCATGCGGTTTAAGGAGCCTTGGGTTGCAGATTACGGGATGGTGTGCAGCATCACAGCAGTCTGAGAACACCCTTGCTGGTGTGTCTGGCTTCGTTCAGAGGGGCAGAAGGATTGCAGGGATCATGGTGCTCAAACGCAGAAGATACTGTGCCTTCCCACGGACTATGGGTTGTAATAGGTCCGGTCAGCAAAGATTTACAGTGGTACTGGGCCTGGAGCTGAAATACATATCTTTCAGCTACAGACAGTCAGGGGTCAGATGCATTTCCATATGCAAGTACCAAATCTGACCCAGCAGGTGCCCCGGGATGTGGCCAGCGGGGCAATGTGACCATGCCCCCAGCAGTGGGGTGCTTTGGGTCCAGGGTAGGGTACGTGGGAAGCTGGTTCCTCTCCCACAGAACCTGCATCAGTCACACCTCATGGAATATTTGTCTTTGGGATCCACGGTGTTTTTAAGACCCTCCCTTGCCTCAGTCAGCGTCTTCTGATAAAGATATCCAGCTCTGATCTGGCACTTGTCATCGGTAAATCATGAAGCACTTGACATGGGAGTCCTGTGTAACACGTGAATGCATGAGGAAACCTGCTGTCCTGAATGCCTGTACATGATTAATATTGATCTGTTTTTAACAACACACGTCTTCCCATGCTCCTCTTTTCCAGTTTGTTTGGTGGAAAACTGATTTGTCAGATCTTTTTTACCACTTCTGAAAGGTGAACTCCCTTTGGAAGGTAAATAAGCTGAAATAGAAAACCTCTTTGTATCTGTTCTTAGAAAAGTTTTAATACTGCTTCCTCTTGAAAACACTAATTTTTTTTTTTTTTGGGCCAAGTGAGATGTGTTTGCTTTGTCTTTTATGTTGAAGGAGTGGCAATCTATGAAAGGATGCTGAGGCAGGGAAGTGTCCTGTAATTGTTGTGTCAGCTGCATATACCCTGCAGGATAGTGGTCCTCTGGGGTGTTGGCCACAGTCCCTTGCTGCATCCTGACTGTGTCAGGAGGAAATCTGGGTTTGCTCCATTCTTCCACACGTGTTCATATCCTTGGGATCGGTGTTGAGCATACAGTCCATGTTCTCCAGCAGATAGCTGGGGCTGAATCAGTGGGGAAGCCAGGACTGCCAGGATTGTTTGCCTTTCCGTGTAAACAACATTACGTAACATAACCCAGTAAAGAGCGCTGCTGTGGAGAGAAGAAACCTAGGACAGAGAGCAACCCAAGTCTGAACCATTCTTGAGGTGCAAAGAGCTGCCTAGCAGTGGTCTTTCTCCCCCCACTTCTATGAATGAAGAGCTGTAGTTGAGCCCCTTGTGTCAAGCTACAGTAATCAGACAAGATTTTTCCTGGAGCTTGGTTAATTGTGTCAACTGGGGTACTTAAACAGCAGCGCATGCAGAAATTTGCAGACCCGCTTACCATCTCTTCATGGTAGAGTGTTTCCAAAATGAAGCAGGAATTTTATAACCCTTTGTAAGTGTTTTCAGTGATTCAAAAAACATCTCCCTTCTCAAGTGGAAGATACAGACACACAGCAACAAAGTGACCAGCCTGAGGGCATGCAGTAAGTCTGGTCAGAAAGGCAAGGTTGCAGTTCAGAAGCTCTTTTTTTATTATTGCAGTGGATCACCTTGCCACTGAATATAACTTTTGCCTCAGCAGCACTGTGCTTCCTCCCCACTTCTTTCCCAACTCTGAAACAGTTACCTTCCGGTCATATTGCTTCCATGAATTTTTGGGCACTGAGAATTGTATGCACAACATGGAATTGCTGGGCTCAGAAATTTTAAATACAGGGAAAATATGTTACAAGGAGTGTGTTTAAAATTCCAAATTTCTAATTTTTTTCATCGGTGCTGGAGTCAGACCTGTTGCTGGATAAATATCCTATCTAAAGATATTTCTGACTAGCACTCTGCGTTACCATCGGCTTGGTCTGCTCTGTTATAATTGCAAGATCACAACCACATGCTATAGTAATTTACAGGAGATGACTATATATATGGGAGATACTGTTTTAATCTATTTCTATCTGAATTCTTAACTTTTTCATTAGAAGTTTAATCTGCTTAAAATAGTGTTTTCTCGTTTGGACCTCCTTGTTTAGTTTCTTCCACAAGTCAAACTCATTGACTGCAGAGGAAGCTGGGTCCTACTGTATACTGAAAATTATACTCTTCAGCTGTAATGTAATTTCACCTACATTTAAAAGTTTCTGTAAAACAATTACTTAGAAAAATGTATTTGTAGTTTGTCTTTTACCTTCTTTTTCTGTTACCTTTTATGCAGCTTCTTTTGACTCTTGAGTCCACTATGAAACAGCTGTCAGCAGAAACTATTCGTCTCATTTCAAGTTCTCACGTGATTACATCAGTTGTCAGCGTGGTGAAGGAACTTACAGAAAATTCTTTGGATGCCAGTGCCACAGATATTTCTGTTAAACTGGTAAGTCCTCTTTATTTCTCTTACAAAGAAATGAATGTAAAATAAGATGCAAGGAAACTTGTTCCACGGCAAATGTGGGTTTTTTTGCTATCATGGTTTGGGGAATGGAAAGGTATTAATAGTATTTATACATACCTATTTTAACCTCAAAGAGAAACGGTCCAAAATAAGTTTCCATTAATGCTTTTGAGGCCCCACTGGAACAATGAGGCATATTTGTGCTCCTGAGTGTATCTTGGGAAACGACTGTCAACTTCTTTAATACTTTTCCTACTTACAAATTACTATTTCCGACTAATAGCTTGTTGTAAAAGATGTTTGACTTAAGTTTCACTGCTCAGCTGGCATATTTAATGCTCATTACAAAATACTGTCAGGAAGGTGAAATTGGAAACGGAAAGGTGGATGGCCATGCTAGATGTTTTTGTAATACAAATGACCATATGGTCCCTGAGTAGCATGGTGAGCTCTGGCTACTTCTAACATTTTATTTTTATAAGATCTTAAAAAAAAAAGAAAAATTGGCATATCTCTCCAGGATAGTTTCTGAAAAAAATAAAATATTGCTTATAATAAAGAGCTTGTGCTTTTTTTCCCAAATTGGGTATAATGACTAACGGATCAGCTGCTCTTGCTGCCATGAGTATTTCTGGTTTTGCAGTATTCTGTCAACAGCTGCGTAGTAGCAGTACCTCCTGCTTAGTAAGAAAGTGTGTTGATGCAGTCTGGATGTATCCAGAATTGCATCCAATTTCCCTTTTTGCAAATAATGGTGAATGTATCAGCTATTCGTGAAGTAAGTGTTCTGTCTTTTCTAAATGAGCCTCAAGTGTTTTCCATCTGAGCATGGTTTCCTGCGGATGGCAAGGAACATGCTTCTTTGTGGTTTGCCTTAAGTGTGCTGAAGATACTCTGTCTTCACTATGGCCTGTGATGACCTCTGTCTTCTCAGTATTTAGACTGCATAGTGTTTTACCTCACGAGTAACTCCAAAGTGAGTAGTGTGCACACAGTTCTGGGCATAAAGGTACCAGAATACATGATGTGTTAATTCAGCTAGCTTTTAGGCAACACTGGGAGGAACATAGCTCATACTGTAGCTTTACATAGTGTGATATTGCTTTCGTTACAGTATAAAGCCAGTGATTTGATTAGGAACTGAACTGTGGCCTTTCTACAAGGAGTTGGGTGGTATCTAGTTATTAATTTGAACTTCAGCCTTGTTGCTATTAGAAAGAGGAACAAGCTGGACCTTGCCATTTTGTTAGCAGTGGGGTCAGCTGCCTCAGCAGCACGGCTGTGCGTTAAGCCTGTGCGGAGTGATGGTTTCATTCTTGACGTGATGTCCTGGCTTCAGGTTAAAGTACACTAAAAAAACGTTGATGCAGCAATATAATTGTGTCTGTGGATAAAGAGGCTCCATGGGCATCAGTCTGTTGGTTTCCCTGCTGCCCTCTAACAACAGGAATTTATGAGAGTAATCTTCACAAGGCTGACTGTGAGAGCTACATGTTTTAATTAGCAGAGATGGGAAAAGCCTCTTGTTAGTAGTAGTTGGAGCAGAGTTGGGTTCGGGAAGGATGAATCTTAGCTCCAGGTTTGCTACTATTATACAAAATGGCTGTAGTAGAAGGCAGACACTCATTTCTGCACCTCTTTTCCCAATGTGTGAAGTGAGGTGGGACCTTTAATCCTTAGAACCTTTTCAGAGGATGTTTAGCTCAGGGTGAGGTTCCACTCTATACCTGATCCATCTCATAGCTTGAAAAGCAAAGCCCTATATCCATCTGCATAGCACTGCTAGTAATTTCTGCCTCTGATGATCCATTCAGCTGGCTAAAGAAAAGTAACCCAGCAAGAAAACTGGATTATTTGGGCCAGTTTAATAAGCTGAATTGATCTCAGAGTTTTCATGAGTAAGAGAGCTGTAGCTGAAACAAAGATGGGACCGTCCAGTCGTGAGTAAAAGAGGAGGGTGTTGAACCATATGGTTTGGCATCAGTGGTCTGGTAAATCAGCTTAAACATCTCGTGGGATCATGACCTCAGTAGTATTTAGGTCGTGTAGCATGGTGGAAGGTGTTAGAGTATACAAACCTTAAGCACTGTAATGCTTCAAGTAAAATGTGTGCAAGTAAAAATGAATAATATTAGAAAAGAAAGAGAGAATCGTTCATGTAACATTTTGATTCAAGTTGAAGAAGATAAATCTCACTTTTCCTAAGCAGTTAAATGGTCTGGAAGTAAAAATTAGAATGGAAAATAGGGGTTAATTGTAAAATGCTCCAACCCTTCATTATGCGTACAGCAGCAGGGTAGGTTTCCTGTTTCTCTCTCCTTTTTATGTTCAGTCGAGGTGTATTGCTTAGGTTCTGTTTTGCTTCCCAGTAGGAGGTTGAGTCAAACATTGGCCAAAGCATTGCTTTTCACCTGAAGATAACTTCAGCACCATTCATTAATCCAGCAAGTGAAATGTAACCACGTCTCTGTCATCTATCAGTTAATTGAAAGTATATAGTTCTGTGCCTACCTCAGAGGCTTTTGATGTTTCCTAATGCAGATTATGTGTGAATACAGATAGTATCTTTTGATACCTTCCTTTTGGTTTTAACTGCATTGTTTTTTTACTTCAAGAAATAACCCTGGGAACACGTATTTTTTTCATAACTGTCTTCAGTATACGCTCAGGTGGGACAACAGAGTTACTTCTGTTTAATCAGCCAGCTTCTGGGAGCAACCCTCACGTACAGCAGCAGTGCTAGCCGCTCGTTCAAGATACTCTTTCTAGGCAAAACCTCTTTTAAGGTTGCTTAGATGCATTGCACACTACAGCACGTTTTTCTGCACGTTACAGCATGATCTTTTCAAAGTGCCAGGTGTGCTTCTTGTAAAAGAAGTTTAGTTGGTGATCCTGCAGCTCTAACTACTTTCTCCTCCTGGCCTGTGATTCTTTTTGGGTGTGATTTACGTGTGGAGATTATAATATAGCTGGAAGGAAGCATTTGCTGCACCTTTTTGAGATGTTATAGATCCTAAATTCTGTATTTCATTTAGCTATCCTCATTAACTGGGTTTTCAGAGTTTTACCCTATTTATGCTGGTGCTTATTGAAATGACATCTTTAAATCAGAATTAAGTAAAATATGTATTGTGTACATGTGAAGGTAAATCACAAAGAATGAACTTTGCCTCCTTGAAAGCTGATTTTAAAAGAGCATCTTTACAAGCTTTCTTTTTTCTTTCTTCTCCCCATTCATGCCTTGCTCCCATTACAATTGCAGCTTCTTTCAGTATGCTGAGAGACGGTATAGAGACTGGAAAACCTCTGCAGTAGTGAAATCACGGAAATAGAGTGAAATTGCAAACAGTTCTTACTGAGGGCCCACTGACTTGGGTGAATGCAGGGCTGCATTTGTGGTGATTTGGAAAGACTTGATAACAAACAGATAAGAGAGGTGAAAAGTTTTTAGCTTTCCAGCTACAGATCTTTTTCTGAGCTTATGTTTTTCAAATTTCATCAACGTTTAAAAAAACCCCTTACTTAATTCCTGTTTCAAGTCACTGTATTTATATGCTATTTCCAAACATGGGCATGAATGACGTTATTTAATTAGAGAAACAGGCACTACTGTCCTAACATGTTGGGGTTTTTTGATTGGGGTTGGTTGGTTGGTTGTTGTTTTGAACCAAACATTTAATAATTTCTCAGTTTCTCCAAATAAGCAAGGCTCCCACTTCCATCTGGATGGCTGGAAGCTGTAATCTTAGCCGCTTCAAACTTGTGTCTGAATTAATTCAGCTGATGTAGTGCTCCTTTGTTTTGTTCTGTTTTAGGAGAATTATGGGTTTAACAAAATCGAAGTAAGGGACAATGGCAATGGAATCAAGGTTGCTGATGTCCCAGTTGTGGCAATTAAACACTACACCTCAAAAATAAGCTCTTCTGAGGACCTTGAAACTTTGACAACATACGGTTTCCGTGGGGAGGCCTTAGGATCAATCTGCTGCATATCAGAGGTGAGCAGTTGCTGTAAATATGCCTAGGCTTTTGGGTTGTGATTTTTTTGTATGTGTTTGTGAAAGTTCCATTAAAATATCAGCGCAAAGGCTTTACATTCTTGCAGCAGCCTGCCAGGGATATGTTTTCCAAACATTTTGGCTTGTGTATGCTGCCTTTCCCCTCTTCCCCTGAAGTCATGTCATATGGTTGGGGAGCAATATGGATTTCTTGTTGCCATCAGTCCTGCCTTTCTGTCCTACTGGTTACAGCAGTGCTCTATTTATTTCCGTCAGTCAGAATAGTTCAGGGACAGATTGCCTCTTCTTTTGTATCAGGATATAGGTACACGATTCCTGAAGCATACATGTATGGTTATAGGATTCCTTAGAACACCAGCTTATGCTCTTTAGCGTTACCAGCAAATATGGTGTCAGAGTATGGCTGCGTTTGCTACTTGAATCTATCTGAGGAACAGCAGATGGCAGCCAGGGTAAATCAGTTCAGGGAATTGATGACCCACATAGCTAACCATTCCAATAAGGATTTCTGCCTTGATGTTATCTAGGTGTTCAACAGTCATGGAATCTTGATGGGCTCTGTCTTGCTTCTTGACATGTGTATGACTGCAGTTGCAAAAACTTTGTTGTCTGTATGAGTAAACAGGAACCTGCTCCTCAGCCTATCTGAGTCTGATCCGTATGTTTGTGTTAAGAGGACTGACTGTGCACGGATATTTAGGATTTAACTTGTTGACTGTAAGTTGGTTAAAAAACATCTGAAAAGTGTCCAGGCTCTTAAGGGTGCAGCATCTACCTCTTCCATTATGCTCTGCCTTTTTGTGCTTTTGCTGTGCCAAGGTCAAGTTTTGGATTTTTTTTTCCAAGTCTGCCAAGGATTATATTCTGCAAGAAGATAGAGGTATCTGTGTCTGACTGGAAGCAGCAACTGTGGAGGTCAGGAGAGATGTTAGAGCTTGACTCCCTGCTACCTTGGGCTACATTCACCTTGCACTAAGCAGCAGTGGGTTGTGTGTTTGGATGGGGATTTCCAAAGATGCTTTCAGAAGTGCTGGTGTTTTGACAGATGATGACAGACCTCAACCACTGGTTCCTTCTAATGAGTTGTTAGGGCAGGATGCCATCTGTTCTGAACATTTAATCAGCTCTATGGTACGTTTCATAAGAGATGGGAGGTGGCCTGAGTGTATTAAGTACTTTGATAGGTATTACTTTAATCCCTGGATCAGCAGTTACGTTAATTAAACACTCCTGGAATGAATTGTATTCTGGCTACCCAAACTGCACCCTGAAGTTTCAGGTAAGAGGCACTTTACTATTGGCCCTTAGGTAGGTCTGAAATACTGTCATTTCCAGTGAATCAATTACTGGGTTTTCTTCTTTCCAGAGGCATGGCTGAACTCTGAACCATTCATGAAATACTAAAATAAACCAAAATCATCTGAAGCTCTGTATGTGTGATAACCTTTATGGCTTTCAGGTGGTAAAGGCACAGTGGCTCTGTTATTTGAAATACTGATCCCTGAACCCAGGGAATTGCAGTTTTATTGAACTTCTGGTGACTGGTCTTGCTAAAGCCAGTCTGTGTATTACCTTAATAGCTTACAAAACATGCTGCTACTGATTGCTAGATATATTTGGGTGTGGAAAGATAATATACGGTTTGCTTGATAGTCGTCGTTATGTTTGTGGAATCTCACGTGAATTTAGGAAGTTGCCTGTGGATGAAAATGTAAAATTATCAGTTGATTTAGTTGTTTATTTAACCTGTGTTGAGAATAGAAGAGAGAGGAGTATGTGGTGTAGGGAGTAGGGATTGCTATGCTTTTTGTGTTAGTGTGATAGAATGCGTGGTTTTTAGTTAAGTGGATGGAAAAATGAGTAATAATGCAGAAGACTGTAAGAATCATTCTATGAGACACCTGTAAAAAATATTTTATAAACTAATTAAATGTAATTGCAGTGACTGAAATGACCAGTGGTGAGAGTGGTAGCAAAGCTTACGGAGACTCATTCTGAACTTTGTGATCTGTGAGTAACAGATTTTTTTTTTTAAATCACTCTTTTCAGGTTTTGATCACAACAAAGACAGCTGATGATGACTTCAGCATTCAGTACGCCTTGGATAGCAATGGGCACATAACTTCTAAAAAGCCTTCCCATCTTGGGCAAGGTAGGATACCCTTGTTCTGGTGTTATGCTGTGACCAAAGTGTTTTATGTTTCTCTGTGTCTCTATTTGACATTGAAATAGTTTTTCTGTACTTGAAGGCTGAAGCTACACTTTGCAGCTGTAAACATTTCTTGCCTTATGTCTGTCAACTGAGAACGTGGTGTTATTGTAAGAAATAATATGTCTTGGAAGTTGCTTGAGATGGTAATTATAAACTAGTTTCTCCTCAGCTTGACAGTGGGAATAATAACTATAAAAATTCAGTGCCCCAGGTCCAGGCAGACTTACTATCAAGTATATGAAAGATTTGTTCAGGACCAAAACAGTGCTTGTGTCCATAGCGAAATCCTTGCTTAAAGGAGGAAGAGTTGCCCGGATACAAGGGAGTTGCTGGAAGCAACGCGACTGCAGGACGAGGCAAAGTCTCAGTTCTTGCTAACCTGCAGGAGGGGTATGTCGCTAGGAATCCTTCTGCATGCGTGTGGGAAAGACTAAAGGTTACCCTCACCTCAGAGGCAGCCGTGGTGGTTCAGCCGTGGTGTAGATTTGGGGTAGCTTCGTGCTCTGCTCAGCTAACTGTTGTTCAGCAAGGACCATTAAGACCACGCCGTGTCCTCGCATTTGTACTCCAGCTGGTGTGTGTATTCCCAGAAGAGAAGTGGCGCGCTCCTTTCGAGTGACAGGGCTGTGGTGCTGAGGAAGCATGGGCAGGTTTTCCAGAAAGCTCAGCTTTTTCCCGCTGAGCCTCAGCGGCTGCTTGTCAGTGTCATGCCCACAAGCTGCAGGCCCGTACACCGACGGGGAGCTGGCTGACAACCCGGCCGGCTCCCTTCCTCCTCGGTGCTGACTGGCCGCAGGAAGCCGTTAAGCCGCAAGAAGCTGCCAAGGGCTGGTCCATGGGTAGATACTGAATGAAGAGCTGAAGCTGAGACATCTAATTTTAGATCATTTTAAGCAGGGACTCTTTTTAAGATAGAGATGAGTGTTTTCCATGACAGGAAAGCCTGTGGGTTGCGTTGCCTTGTCTTTTGTCAAAATTGTTGAATGATTGACTGGATTCTGTGACATATATTTAATACTTGACGATATCCTTATGGGCTAGGAGTTTGTGATTGCGTTGGGAGATGAATATTCCTCCTTGTACTGTATACTGTACCTTGAACAGAGGCATCTGTCTCTTCAGGTACTACCCTAAAGCAAATGCTTGTGAAGGGCTTTAATGGAGCGCAGTGTTCCTTCGCCTCCAGATATGTCTGATTAGATTCTAGTCTGTTAATCGTTTTATTAATGAAAGTTAACTTAATATGCACTGAAAGAGCTTCATTTAGTGCTTGCTGTTGTCAGTGTGTACGAAATAAAGCTTAATGCTGCAATTGTAACTGTAAACAAAGGAGGGGAGTCGCAGCTCCGGAGGTCTATAGGTACTTTTCTGGGAGGATGACTGCTAATTTGATGTATTTCTTCTCATGATAATATAACCTATTTAGTGTTACTAGGGTTAATTTGGCACGCTGCAGCATACAGACAGGTCTCTTCAAGTCAAAATGAACATCCCCAGTATCCAGTCAGTGTTTTGTTTTCAGTGTAATTTCTGCTTACATTTTGTCACCTGCAGGTACTACAATAACGGTTCTAAAGTTGTTTGGGAATCTTCCTGTAAGAAAGCAGTTCTACTCAACAAATAGAAAATGTAAGGAAGAACTGAAAAAAGTCCAAGATCTACTGACAGCATATGGTATCATAAAACCAGACCTGAGGATAACCTTGACACATAATAAGGTAATAATGATTTTTTCTCTGTCGGCTATTTAAGGATCAGTTTCTGATGAATTTATGCAGTTCTGCACAATTGATTCCTTGGAATTTTTTTTTTATCATGGGTTTGTTTTGGACTTCCACTTCTTTCTTCCCTTCATAAGATGTGTATTTATGATGGTTACAGATTTTGATCTTAAACTTCTACAACTCAGACTCAGATCTTTAGTCTGCTCCAACAGGTGTCTGGTTAAATATATGAAATATAAAAGTTATTTTACATGCTAGTTGTGTAAAAATGATTTTACCTGCTTGTGGTTAGTAAAGATGATGGTGGCGTTCTGCAGAACAAAGAAGGGAGACCTTACTAGACCATGGGGCCTGCTCAAGTGTTAACCTAAGGCAATGAGCTTACTAGGTTAGGCTGTCTGTCTGGATAGACACATATAAGTAGCTTGCTGTGTGCTGAGTCAAGGGCTCCATACAAATAATGGCCAAAAAAATTCAAACCAAGCTGCTACATTGGTGTATGTAAGATTAATTTACATTTTTAACAACAGGTCTTCGTTAGAATCATAGAATCATAGAATGGTTAGGGTTGGAAGGGACCTAAAAGATCATCTAGTTCCAACCCCCCTGCCATGGGCAGGGACACCTTGCACTAGACCAGGTTGCTCAAAGCCACATCCAGCCTGGCCTTGAAGACATCCAGGGATGGGGCATCCACAACATCTCTGGGCAACCTGTGCCAGTGCCTCACCACCCTCTCTGTGAAGAATTTCTTCCTGATATCTAATCTAAACCTCCCTGATTTCAATTTATAGCCATTACCCCTTGTCCTATCACTACAGGCTCTTGTAAAAAGTCCTCTCCCAGTACCCTTGTAGGTACCCCCTTCGTTGAGCTAGTTGTTCTTTGTTTAGACTTGGGGAAGCATGTTCAGAGGTTGCTTTGACTTTGCTGCATAATGAGCAGTAGTTTTACAACACAGCTACAGAAATGACACCTTGGTCCGTTCTCTTTTACCTGGCCCCCATTTAACATAGCTGATTTTCTTGGTTGTGCTCCGGCTGGACACCTCTGCGTGGGAAGCTGTGCTAATGAACTCCCAAGTTGCCACAGTGTAGAGAGGTGACATCTAGTGGCCAGAGCCCTCGGCACTTCTGGGCTGAAAGACTACTGTTTGTTGATCTTGCTGTTTGGCCTGTTCACTGTGCGGTTTTGATCAGTTACTCCGTCAACCAAACATTCACATTTCAGTTCCTTTTCAAGGGGAGTTGTGTAACAATCTGCTTCCTTGAAATGACAACAGATTGCCCATCCTTTTCTGAAGTTGGGTGACACGCTCGGATTGTTTTTCACAGTATTTACACCTTGATATTTAGAAATACATCCATAAATACAAAATCCAGCCTTGTGGCTACAGAATTAGTATTACAAAGCTGAGAAAGTGTAGCTACTTTCAGTCTTACTTCACTGGAACTACAGAAAGTTTGAAACCTGAGATCTCAGGGGTGTGAACTTCTTGGACTTTGTTAATCTCCTTGACAGATCCAGCGGTGGTTCACAGTACTGATTTTAAATATTGGTTTTTAAAACTAATTTTGTCTCTTATTGGTGGTTTGGTTTTGCCCTCTCTGACAAAATGCAGATGATGTTTTTATGGTATTTTGATTTCATCTCCTTTGATTAGACTATTACATGTCTTGGTTTTCTTTTTTCCTCTGCTTATTTTAATACAATGGGAATGAAGTGCCAGAAGGTGATCCCATGCCTTTCTCACAATACTTACTGCAGAAATGGTGTGGAGAGTGGCATGACAGTAGCCATTGCACATGGGTTTTGACTACCTATCCTGTTAGTATCAGAGGTAAATTCTTCAATGCACAATTTGAGTAGGTAAAATTAATCTGTACGAACGCTGTCTGCAGGCAGAATTATTCATTGTAATGACAGGGATGGTGCTGTTTTTTGGGGGCTCTTCATTTTGCACTGCAGGCCTTATGTTCATTTAATATATGTTTTTAAGGAAAGAAAACATAGAAGAAAGTGCTCGGACCTTTTAACACAAGAGGTCGCTCCGTAGCTATTGCTGAGCAGGGAAAATTAAAGGCATAAGAAATGGTACAGAAAGCGTAGTCTGTCTGTGCTTGTGTCAGTGCTTTAAAATAATCTGAAAATTTAAAAAAAACTGAATGCAGATTCTTGTGTCTCTGGTGCTGTTGACATTCCTTGCAAAACAAAAAAGATGCCTATTGCATCATAACCTTTTAAGAAATTTCGAATTTCAGAATTTCAGTGCATAACAACTTTCAGCAGGTCTATGGGCATCTGTTTTACCATAATATCACAGAACATGAATATTCATTAGTTCAAATATGCAAAGTATTACTGCCGTTCAGTTTATGAATTCAGATCAGAAGGTGTTTTTCCTATACTGATACTACAGTATATCTGTGCTAGAATATGCACTCTGTGGCTGGGGGACGGGGGGAGATTGGTTGTTTTTTTGTGGTGGCTGTTTTATTTCTGTTTGAAATGTACTAGGAGAAAGAATTAATTTCTTTGGCTTTATCAATGGCTTTATTTTTCATGTAGCTTATAGATTATATATTAGTTAAAAAAAATGTATGTGCAATTATTCAGAGGAGTTCCTAGAATCCCAAATTCTTGAGGCTGAGCCAATACTTTCTGTTCCAATGGAAGAAGATACACGTCAGGAGTTAAGATCAGGTTCCAAGGCTTAAAAGAGCAAGAAGGTAGTAGAGATGAGGTATTACAGGAGTAGACAAGGAAATATGGTTCAAAAGAGTAGAAAGGGTAGTAAGAGAAAAAACTGTCAGTGAAAGTGTGTTTCAAAAATCTTGCAAATAAATTGGAAAAAGCAGTACATCAAAAAAACCCAAACAATCTTCAAAGTCCTGTATTTTATAAGTGTGGTGGGTTGACCATAACTGGAGGGCAGGTGCCCACCAAAGCTGCTCTGTCACTGTCCTCCTCATCTGAGCCGGAGAGAGAAAATATCAGGAAAAGCTCGTGGGTCGAGACAGGGAGAGAGAGGGATCACTCACCCGTTACTATCACTGGCAAACAGACTTGGCTTGGGAAAAATTTATTTAATTTCTTATCAATCAAATCACAGCAGGATAATGAGAGATAAAACCAAATCTCACAACACCTTCCCTCACCCCTCCCTTCTTCCTGAGCTCAGCTTTGCTCCCAATTTCTCTCCCTCCTCCCCTCCAGCGGTGCAGGGGGACAGGGAATGGGGGTTGTGGTTGGTCCATCACAGGGTGTCTCTGCTGCTCCTTCCTCCTCAGGGGAGGATCCTCACACCCTGCCCCTGCTCCAGCGTGGGGTCCCCCCAACGGCTCCAGTGTGGGTCCTTCCCACAGGCTACAATGGCAGCCTGGCACATCTGGCCTCACCATGGGCTGCACCCCAGGCTGCTGGGGAATCTCTGCTCCTGTGCCTGGAGCACCTCCTCCCCCTCCTTCTCCACTGACCTTGGTGTCTGCAGAGCTGTTCCTCTCATGTCCCGCTCTCTCCAGCTGTAATTTCTCTTTGAGGGTTGGGTTTTTTTCCCTTTTCTTAACTATGTTACCCCAGAGATGCTACCACAGCCTCTGATGGGCTCAGCCTTGGCCAGCAGCGGGTCCGTCTTGGAGCCCGCGCACATTGGCTCAACAGGGGAAGCTTCCAGCAGCTTCTCACAGAAGCCACCCCTGCAGCCCCACACTAACAAAACCTTGCCACGCAAAGCCAGTGCAGTAAGAAATGAAAGGGGAGTGGAAGAAAACATAGCCCTAGCCTTACCGAGGAAGAATGTAATGAGCCTGAAACTTTCATAGGAGTGTCTGAGGTTAGGCACCTGAAAGTGGTTGCCTAATTGATTCTACCAGAAACTTGTTTCGGCAAGTCAGGCCTCAACTTAAGCTGTTGAATGTATATATGTTTTAGGATGTACAATACATTGCATGTTTTATTTCCACAATGTTTTTTATAAAGTTGTATGGTGAAATTTCCAGTAATTTTACTACTTCTTGTGCCACATTTCATATCTGTGTTGGTTTAGAAAATATTACCATTAAGTGTTTGGTTTCTTTTCTGTGAAGCACCACAATGCTCTTCCTGCCTTTGGGTTGTTTTTTAGTAAGAAAATAGATATCCTCTTTTCAGTCAACCTAGGGTTCAGTTATTGTGTACTCTCAGTCAGTGGATTTCTGAGATAGGAAATCCTCAATTGCTCTTTCTTCTCAGAATGGTTTGTTTGCGTTAGCAATAAATAATGAATCACTTTGCAGATCAACCCTTGAAGTACTATTGCTATTTTGACAACTTGGATTAGCTAGTGCTCCTTCTTTTTATGAAGGTTTATCCTGCCAAGACATTCTTTGAATACTGATAATGTTGATCCTCTTGCCAGTATGGATATGTTAGAAAGAGGTATTTTTCTTCTTTCATCACCATGTTCCTTGAAAGCATATTGAATAATGAGACAGCCAAATGGAAATAATTTACATGAGTATTCAGCAAGTTTATTTAAAGTTAACATTATCTGAAGGCGTGCTAAGAACATTCCAAAGTCAGCTACCGCTTAAACCGCGTCAAAGTCTTCAGCCCGAAATGCCATGTTCTAGCTACCTAAGAGCTGTGGCTGTATTTTACCCAAGGTGCTGTAGGGCTGTTCCCTGGAACGGCAGTTTTCACACTCCTCACCATTTAACACCAGTAGGCCTTGAATTAGTCTTACAAGCCCCTGGTGTTCAAGAAATGCCTTTGTGTATTTGAAAGGCCGATGATATGGGATACTTTATTTCTGTTCTAGTTGCCTGTGTCCCACAAATACTGAAATGCGAGGGGACACCGATAACTATACCTGTTTTAACAATTTCAGATGTAATACAGCTGAACAAATTATGGCAACAGCTGGTTTAGATGGTGCCTTCAGCAGGTCACACCATACACAACCTGTCCCACGTCTCTTGCAAAGCATCGAGGGGCCATAAGTAGACTCAATAAAT